AAATTCAACTGACAAATACTGTCTAAATGAATAAAACTTAAACTAAATAGTTACGGTCAACGGTACGGAAAAGGCCAAGTAGCCGATGACGAAACACGTCAGCTGATACATTGAAGTCGAACATATAAAAAAAGTTGTTGAATTGCCGGCTGATTGCTCGAATTGGCTCGTGTTGTGCATAATTCCGGCTCCGTGGTTCCAAAAACAGAAAGTCGCGTTGACGAAGAAACCTCTCAGGGCCATACATATTTAGTTGTGACAGCAGTGTTGGGCAGTCAATGTCACCTGTAAGCAGCTTTCCGGCGAACATAGCTTGAGCGACCGTCCGTCTCATCTCTAATGGCTCGATTCCCAGGAGACGGCAACGCTCCTCGTACGGTGGCAAGTTCGTTGGGTCACGCCAGTTGAGGAAACGAAGAGCATATCTCACAAACTTGCGTTGAACGGATTCAATTCTAGTGATCCAGCTAGCATGGAAAGGGCACCAAACAACTGAACTTGACTCCAATAAGGATCGCACAAGCGAGCAGTAAAGTGACCTGAGACATAGCGGGTCACGAAACTCGTCGGCAACTTTGAAAATAAAGCCCAATTGTCGATTAGCTCTGGAGATGATGTCATTGTAGTGGATTCTGAAAGTGAGTCTGCAGTCCAAGGTAACGCCGAGATCCTTTATGTGCTCTACACGAGCAAGACAGCGTCCGTAGAGAACATAGTCAAACATGATTGGTTCAATTTTTCGGTGATATGAAATAATGTTACATTTTTCTATGCTTAGACTCATCAAATTTCTTGAGCACCAGTCAGCAAAAATACCTAACATATTCTGGAGATCCCAGCAGTCCGAGAGGCTTTTAATAATTTTGTAGATTTTCGTATCGTCTGATAGAAAACGCGGCATCCAAATGGTATCAGCAAGGCGACATCGTTTAAAAAGATCGAAAATAGTAGCGGTCCTAGGTTACTGCCTTGCGGGACTCCCGAGTTGTTTGAGAAAACATCCGATTCCGACGCGCCAATCTTGACATGTACATAGCGATTCACCAAGTAAGATCTGAACCAATCCACAGCAGTTGACGAGATGCCAAGTATCTCCAGCTTGACCAGCAGGATATTATGGTCCACCGTGTCAAATGCAGCTTTTAGATCCATATACGCAGTATCGACTTGCCATCCTGAATCCATGCATCGCAGGCAGTTAGAAGTGAACTGCACCAGGTTCGTGGACACGGAGCGCTTCGGGTAGAAACCGTGTTGTTCTGTATCGATATAATTTTTGCAGCGTGCGAACAGAGCACCATTTGTGATAATCTCGAACAGTTTTGAGCATCAGGCACGCAGGGAGGTGATTCCACGATAATTTATGACATTCCGTTTATCTCCTTTTTTGTGCACTGGGGACAGATAAGAAAGTTTCCAGCGGCAGGGGAACTCACATTGCTGTGCCGAGAGATTGAATAGCCTCGCAAGTGGAAGGCAGAGATTGGCTACACAACGTTTTAGAACTGATGACGGAATGCCGTCAGGTCCGGAGGCGAACGATAGCTTCAGTCTGCGTGTTGCGGCTATCACCATGTCTTCTGAAATGCGCGGAATAACGAAACTAAACACATCACGTGGCATCCCAACAGCAGCATCCAGCACTTGTGTTGGCGAAGCGGAGAAATCGTTGAACACTTGCTTGAAATGACGAGCAAACAAGTCGCATTTTTCTCTTTCACTATTAGCCGAGTCATTCCCGAGAAACATGGAACAAGGCAATCCGGATTCCTTCCGTTTTGAGTTGACAAACGACCAAAAACTTTTCGGATTCGTGCAAAGGTTCGCTTCCGTGCGTCTCACGTGTCGATTGTAGAGAAAACGATTGTAATTTCGATAACTACGACTCGCAAAATTGAACAGTCGTTTGTAGTACGGCGAGCGAGAGTTACAATACTTTCGGAGGGCGGCAGAGCGTTGACGTTTTAGCACGCGTAGGCGTGGGTTAGACCATGCAGGCTTTAGCGGAGGTCGTCGAGCTGGGACAATGCGGAAAATAGCATCTTCCAGTGCAGCACTGAAAAAATCCACTGCATCATTCACGCTAGCGGCAGTTTCGATAAATTGCCAATCAATTTCCGCAAGCGCATTGTTCAATGCAACATAATCGGCCCGGCGAAAGTCCAAAGAGTAGCACTCAGATGACGGCGTAAAAAGAATCGGCGCAGGTAAACTAAATGACACGACGAGAACGGGATGATCGGCATCTAGATCAATCAGTGGCTCGACGGGCAAGGAAACAGAAGTGCCCGGTAGTGCGGAATCATTTGCCAGGACAAGATCTAGCAAACGTCCATTTCGGTTCGGAAAAGTATTCACTTGTGTGAACACGTAAAAGTTAAAACCGTCCAAAAGAGCACAGCAAGCAACCGGCATATGCGAAAGCAGTGGATCAATTAATGGTGTGCCACTGTCTGTAAAGCGCCACTGTAGACCAGCTTGATTGTAGTCACCAAATACGAAAGCGGGAGAGCAGGGACTTAATTGTGACGAAATTGACCCTAACGATTCCACATGCTCACGGATGATCGTGCAGTCGTTTTTGCGGTCGGGAGGCAGGTAGATTGCGCCTACACTAAGCTTGCTTTGTGGAAGTTCTACGACAATCCACAGCTGTTCCAGTTGACTGGAAATGGGTGACGTACTTATGTAGCTGGCTAGTCTAGTAGATACTGCAATCAGGACTTCGCCACCGCGCGATTTTTGACTGTTTATGGCAGACCGGTCAGTTCTAAAGACGGAATAGAGTGACCCGAAAAGTTGCGATGAGTAAATTCGGTCGTCCAGCCACGTTTCCGTCAGCACAATCAAATCATATTCGGCCTCCGCAACAGCCAGGAAAAACGAGTCGATTTTAGTCCTCAGCCCACGCACGTTTTGGTAGTAAATCCGGAGACCATTCGAGGAGCAATCACGGGCACTAGAAATCGAAAGGACATCAGGTACCGAAAGTTAGGAATCACTAACATACTCGCCTGAGGTTGCAGGCCGGAAGCCCCCGATACCATCACCGACCACAGGACCGGGACGATGACGATGGCGGATGTCTGCAGCAAGCGCGACTGGGTCGGGAGGTTCGGAAGCTTCCTCAGTGCCTGTTTTAGGGTGTCCCGGATCCGAGGAAGAGCAGGTGGCGGCATAAACCTGCTGGTAGTTGGCAGGACGGATGCATGGACATGATGTGGCTAGTGTGGAGATCGCAGAACCGGAAACACAGCTAGAAGTTGAAGCGGTATCAGGCAAAGGAGAAGCTGAATCGTCAATATACTTGCCAGTAATAGCTGGTTGGAAGACCCCCGACCTACATCTACACTCAGGGCCAAGACGACTATGCAGAGCGCTGGCTGGAATAAGCGCGACTGAGGCAGAGAAATCAGGGGCTTCCACAGTACTATCCACGATGCGTCTCGGTGGTGATGGTGGTGGTCCAGAAGCAATAAAGGTAGCAGCATTATTCTTGGAAATCGTGTAAACATCATGAAGCGTTGCACTGGAACACGGAAACTGATCAGGCAAATGACTGTAACTAATGTATGCATACTTGCCTGACGACGATGCTCGGGAGACCTCACCACCGAACTCGACCGCAGGGCCAGAACGACTCTGATGGCAGGAAATAGAACGGCTTTGATGGCGGGAAACAACTAGCGCGACTGGATCGAGTGGTTCGAGGTCTCCCATAATGCGACAGGCAGTGCGTTCTGGTCTACAGCGCTCCAATTCACAACGCAAAATCCAATTCTGAATCAGCAGACTGGGTCTAGTCCGGAAATGGGAGTTGAGAACTCGGAAGGTCCCGGAATAGGAGAGATCGTGATGGCAGGCGTGTTCAAACGAGGCAACCACATGTTTTTTGAACCGTCTTCAAATTCACGGAACAAAATTCCTTTCGGCCATGTATCCGATCTAAGAGCAGCTTCGCGTAGTTTGGGATCCATTCCGACTATGTACGAGATGAAGCTCATACGGCTGATGTCGGATCCTTTTTTGACTAGTGGCACAACCTTAATCGGATCTTCACACTGTACACAACCTTTGACCAGCTTCTCGATTGATTCAGATTTCACGCTAGGATGAATACGAGAAAGGTACAGCCAAAACAGCTCGCTGGGTTCAGGGACAGTAAGGACCTCGGTAAAGGCATTGTCGCCTGTTACTGCTTTAGAACCACCAACAAGTGGTTTGCTAGTGAGCGAGCCTTCATCGCGGCGCCGTTTTAATGGCGGTTGACGCATGAAATCGGAGTTTGTCGGAGTTGTCAATGCGATTCGTTTCGATAGCTGAGCGATCTGCTGTTCTTGCTTATGCTAAGACTGCCTCTACGTCGCACAAATTATGGAGCGTACGGTGCGATTTGCGGACTGCAGAAAACATTGAACAGAGTTGCATCTGTTTTCGAGTTTCATCTCTCCCGTGATGCGCTACGTCGAAAGTTTTCTTCTGTTTTTCGCCGGCAGGAGTAACTGAGTAACTGCTCGTGGAGGACCAACACCTTGGTGTTTTCGAACGGAAGATTTTGCGTACCATCTACGGTGGAGTGCAGATGGATGACGGCACGTGGAGGAGGCGAATGAACCACGAATTGCACCAGCTGCTAGGAGACCCATCCATCGTCCACATTGCAAAAAATGGGCGACTACGGTGGGCTGGGCACGTCGTAAGAATGCCGCACGACGACCCAATGAAAAAGGTTCTCGAAAGCAACCCAACAGGAACAAGAAGAAGAGACGCACAGTGGGCAAGGTGGATCGACCAAGTAGAAGGCGACCTGCGGACCCTTCGCAAACTACGAGGCTGGCGAACTGTGGCCATGGATCGAGTAGAGGGGAGACGACTTCTTCGGACAGCAGAGGACAACAAGGCCTTGGTCTGATTGGTAAGGTAAGTTATTTCCGTTCGAACCGTATTTTTCACACAATAATGCTTTCGGATACGTTTGTAGAAACACAAACTCACGGATATTACTCAACTGATTAAAATTTGCTTCTATTACTACTAATATAATTCTGCCTGGACAATCCGAAATGCCTTCAGAAAGCCGCATCGTACATACTCCTCCATACAAAGCGATTCAATTTGAGCTTCCTTCTAAAATCCGCATAAATTAAAAAAAAAAAACTAATCTCCCGATATCCATTGCATTAGATTCGAGTTTACCATCTTTATCACGAACTAGCAAAGCGATGCAATCAGTTGCTACTACTGTTTCCACGAAAAAAAAAAAATCATCGTCACCATCTCAATGGAAGAAACTATCTAGCAGCTTCGCAAAAAAAAACAAAGCAAAATGATTAAAAAGCAGTCGATTCTGAATCAACACAAGCTGCACTGTTAATTTCTATTTTCGCTTATCCAAATAGTTGAAAATCTGCTGTCGACAAACATTTAACGTTCATTAAATCTACTAAAGTACATACGTTGTTGAAATCGAGAGGGGGGCTTTTGTTTCCCTCTTCTTCAATCGATGCTCCCAGAGTCGATGACATTTTTGACATCGGCTCTGGGTCTTTCATACTCTCTGTCTTTTGTTTCAAAAATAGGCACAAAAATTCAAATTACTAAAAATAATTCCTCTTCTGCCCGAATGTGCGATTCTTTTAAGCTTACGCCGCAGATGTTGGTTAGATATCTCCGTTTCTGTTGTGCTTTGCCGTCAACTGCGCAAATCAGCGAAATAATTTCGAGAGATTCATACAAAATCTTACCTCTCTCTCTCTCACTATTAACGGAATTTGGAAACGATCCAAAATGAGATTTTCATGCACTTCGAAGGATTTCATCAGCCACGGAAGGGCCTACAGGCGCCGCAGGTACCGCTGCCGCCGCCAGCTCTTCGCTGTCCTCCTCGCCGGTGCAATCGTTACCGCAGACGCACTCCGGCCGTACGCCGTCCGCTTCCAGCAGGTTGTGATTGATGCTGCCGTCGCTTTCGTTCAGTGGGACACTACCGGTGATGCAGTTGCTGCACATTTCGAAGAACTTCCGCGTCACCTCCTCCATCGTGGTGTCCTCGGAGATCTCCGCCGCCGGGTAGTTGTTCTGGATGGAGGCGGTTAGTTTTGTGTGGACATCAACATTTTTTTTTGAAAAGACTTACCCTCACAGCTTGGTTCTCCTCCCGCAGCAGTCGCCACTCGTCCAGTATGTTCGAATACTGATCGTAACGCGTCTGATCCCCGATGATGTCGTAGATGTGGATCAACCCCCGGTAGTCGTACTCCAGTCCGGAGTATGATTCCCCAAACAGCCGGAGGCTAATCTCGATGCTCTTCAAGTACAGCTCCTCCGCTTCCTGGTGCTTCTGCATGTGATAGTTGTACAGCGACGCCAAGTGCCCTATCGACAGGCCCACCTCGTAGTCGTACGGCCCCAGTATGTGCGTTTTGATTTTGATTGCACGCTTATGCATCTGCTCGGCGGCATCAAATTTGGACATCGATTGGTACAACCGTCCCAGGTTCCCGTAATGTTTCGCCGTTTGCACGTTAATCTCCCCGAAGGCCTCCAGCGAGAGGTGCAACGCCGACTGATGCAGTTCTTCGGATTGAAGCAGCAGACCTTTGCATTTGTTGTAATCGATTGTGGAAGCCATCGTGTCGAGGGCGATCTCCTCCAGGATCAACGCTTTCACCCTCTTGGCCGAAGCCAACATCAGATGGTTGCATGGCACCAGTTCCTTCATGATGTCGATCGCTCGCTCCACGTTGGCCGTAGCCGTATCGAACTTACCGGAGCTGTATTCAAGCACGTACAGGCAGTATGCTAGGTCTTCGTGGGCCACTGCCACGTGCAGATTTCGAGGGCCGAAAATTCGGCAGAGGATTTCGTGCGCTTCGGTATAGACGGCTACGCTATTGGCTATCGAGTCTACGTTCAGCAGGAAGAAACCGTAATCCAACAGGGCATCGGCGTACTTTTGGTGGTTGGTACCGAAGCTGGACCGCGCCCGGCAGACGGCCTGTTTGATGAGCATACTGGCTAGTTGGAATTGCCGTTTCACGACGCAGGATTTGGCCACCTGCCGCAGGACGTCCACGATGATTCTGAAAATAAAATAAAAGCATCACTCAATTGAGGTTCCTTCCCATTCGACGTATAACTACTCACTTATCGGGTGTATTCTTGTTGATATGCTTCAACGCCCGGATGCTCCACCGATAGCTCAGATCGTACTCGCTTCGGTAGAAATGCAGCACCGAAATCTGTTGGTAGATGTTAGCCAGCAAACTGTTTGGTATACTACTAAGCTTATCGTTATCACCGCCGGCTAGGGCACAGCTGCCGCTACTCGCTAGGAAGCTCCTACTGCTGCCGCTACAACAGCTACCCCTGTGTCTGGCATCACTTCCGGCCCTACCGGCCAATTTGGATTTCTGCAGCCGCATCTCCCGCTGACGCTGCTGCGTCAGCTTGTCGATGATGTTGAGCGCTTGTGCACAGGTTATGTTCGCCTCCTTGAAGCAGCAGAATGCCGTTTGGGCGCAAAGCAGTCTACACAAGGAGAGGGAGAAACAAATCAATTACATTTCACAGCTACTGGCAACACGGGCTAACAGATCGTACTTTTGAAGACAATTTAACTCGATCAGCGATCGCAAGTAGCTGGCCTGAAGCAGCTGAACCATGGACAGCGTGATGTTGAAGACGTGCAGCGATTCCTCCAGCCAGCCGGACTCGCACAGGAACGAGCCCAGCCGAATGCCGTTGTCGACCTGCTCGATAAAGGCGCCGACGAACAGGCGACTGTCCTGCGCTGTGGTTCCAGTACTGTGCCCACCGGCCGATTCCACACCCTCGTGCGATACTTCCCCATGGGAACCGAGAAAGTCCTCCAATCGGGCATCCTTAACCATGGAGACGTTCTCGTTCTGCAGGTAGTAGACGCTGGTGGTGCGGCAGAACGTGGTTCGCAGTTCGGTGACGACGGGTCGACGGGACGTCATCAGCGTTTGGACGCACTTGAACATGATCTGCTTGAGCGAGGCCTGGCGGATTACTTTGTTAAATGTGTTCAGGTCGGTCAGTTGGGTCAGCAGGATCTCCTTGAGGGAGTCATGGTTGCACATCTGGAAACACAAGGAAAGTGAACAATCAGTGATGGTTCAAGGTTTAAAACGTAATCGAATGGATTCTGTAGATTGCCGCCAGACAGTGGGATTTCAGAGAGCAGTTTACCTTTCTTTGTGACGTCACAATCAACTGCGCATCCGAAGCATATTAACACCTCGTGTTGGTCGCGCCAAGTGCAAATAAACTGGTCATGTTCTTTCTCATAGCTTGAGCTTTTGAGGCAGTAAACAATACTAGGTACTACGAGGAATACTGTCGCGAGCCACGTTGGATAAGATGTGCGGCATTAATCAGTTGACCAACTAGCTATTAACAACAACCTGATAAGATGCTCGCAACAGGATGATTGTCATATTTTCACGGTTTTGGCAGTATTAAGTACACTGGTCGCGCCTTGGTGATTGCAATGCAATAACATGAAACTCATCCTCCTGCTGATAACGATCGCCACCAGGCTTCGTCCAGTACATAGTGTGACGCATCTCGCCTGTATGCGGAAATTAAGTGTTAATTTTTCACGATTCCTTCACCTTATTTGTGTGTGAGGGGTGACGACAAAGTTTGGGAAGTAATTAACACTTCGATAAGATGAAATCGTGAGAGCATAGTTTGCAGGACAGGATCATTCATTCGACCGATCGAAATATCCGAAATTTGACTCACGGTGGCGACGGGGACTAGGTTTTGGCAAAACTAAATATTTGCATTGTGTTTCAGATTAAGTTATCTGCATCAATATCATCACTGTTTCGGTTTCAAGGTACTTTTTTTCTGTATGTACGCTACGAATTTACAGAGGAATATTTAGAGCGGCGTTACTTTGTGATACGAAATGATTGTCATGGGTTTGCATTGGTATCCGCTTGGTATCGCTCATTTTGGACTTTCTACGCTATACTAAAAATATGGATCAGAAATTGGAACAAATAATGTGATCTATGCTTGCTATTCAGTCACTGTATCGCTTTTTTAAAAGATGTTTTTTTAACTTTATTTTTTAGATTTTTAGCCGTAGGCTAGTTTATCTCGTCCTTGAATGGTGGGGCCTCAGAAGGAGAGTAGTTTTTGACGTAGGACTACGTCTTTGATTTCTATATGGGGGTACACTTTGTGAAAACCGAAAATGGAACATGTAACAAAATTATGAAAGATTTTGAACGTTAATAACTCAGCTGCCCCTGGACCAATTTCAATAATTTTATCACCAATCGATCAGAAATATTCCTACGCATCTGTCAAATTTAAGACTTTATCATTTTTTTTAAATGTCACTCATGAAAAATGCACGAATGTGAAACTGTTGCTATGATAATTAAAATTGTCACCGATTACCTGTGAAAAGCGATTTCCCTAACACAGATTTCAAAGTTGAATTGCATCCGGTCTCACCAAACGGTGTTTAAAGGGTGATACGGTCAAAATTTGGTCAAGGGAAAACGCGTGTAAATCGGTGAAACCGTTTATTTAAAAAATTAAATTAAATTTCTTTTTCAAGTTCAATTAGTATAAAATTCAGGAAAAATATTCAGTTAGGCTTCCGCTTTTCCAAATCAGAATTGCCGGGCCTTACGCTTGACCCCTGCCATCAGATTTTGTACAGCCACCTTGTCCACCTTCTTCGCCGCAGAAAGCCAGTTTGCCTTGAACTGCTGCTCGCCCTTAGCAGTTTTTTTGGTCTTCTTTAGGTTCCGCTTGACAATAGCCCAGTATTTCTCAATTGGGCGGAGCTCTGGCGTGTTGGGAGGGTTCTTGTTCTTGGGAACCACCTGCACGTTGTTGGCGGCGTACCACTCCATGGCCTTTTTACCGTAATGGCAAGATGCCAAATCCGGCCAAAACAGTACGGAACAACCGTGTTTCTTCAGGAAAGGCAGCAGACGTTTATTCAAACACTCTTTCACGTAAATTTCTTGGTTGACAGTCCCGGAAGCTATGAAAATGCTGCTTTTAAAGCCACAGGTACAGATGGCTTGCCAAACCAGATATTTCTTTGCGAACTTTGACAGTTTCATGTGCTTGAAAACATCTGCTACCTTTCCCCTTCCTTTTGCCGTATAAAACTCCTGTCCCGGAAGCTGCTTGTAGTCGGCTTTGACGTAGGTTTCGTCGTCCATTACCACGCAGTCAAACTTCGTCAGCATCGTCGTGTACAGCCTCCGGGATCGCGCTTTGGCCGTCGTATTTTGTTTATCATCGCGATTTGGAGTCACTACCTTCTTGTAAGTCGATAGTCCGGCTCGTTTTTTGGCTCGATGCACGGTTGTAGACGATACACCCAGCTTATTTGCGGCATCTCGGAGAGAGAGGTTAGGGTTTCGCTTGAAACTACCGGCAACTCTCTTTGTCGTCTCAGCCGCTTCCGGTTTTCGATTTCCCCCCGATCCAGACTTCCTGGCTGTCGACAAACGTTCCCCAAACACTTTAATTACATTTGTAACGGTTGATTTGGCAACTTTTAGCGATTTTGCCAACTGTCGATGTCAGCGGAAAGCAGCAGCAGTTTAATCACCTTCGCAGTACTTTCTTCCACAGATCACTAGTTCATTAAGTCCACTTTATTTACAGTTCATGTTATTAATTTCACTTTATTTACAGGTTCATAATTTAATTCACTTTTATTTCAGCTTAACTACTACTTAACTTTATTCTAGCTTAACTACAACATTCAATTAACTTTTCTTCACTAGCGGTTCACTCTTCGAAAGTCTTCGCAAACTATTCTTTCCGTGTTAGCAGCCGAAAAACAAGAGAGTTATATCCATGTGGATATACAGTGGAGGGTTCCCTTCGGTGACGGAAGAAGGAAGTAAACAAACGTCAACTCCATCTTTGTACATACCATGTAACCGTTAGGACGACTGCGTTAGGTTGACAGCTCGTTGATCGACGAACAAGGGATCTTTCCGAAGGGTGATGCACCGAATCGACAACAAGGTAGCGCTAGTATATTCGCACACGAACACCAACTTTGCGTGCGAGTAGCTCGGATTTTCGCGATGCGCGAGCAAAATTTTGATACGCTGTTCTTCTTGCTTGGACGGCATTTTGACAACTGAAGAGTGAATTCCAAAATCAAAATAGGAGCAACATTCTACACACACACACCTTCAAAATGAGGGGTGTTCAGGTTTTTTAAATGCAAAATTGAAAGAAATACGTCAAGTTGATATTGACCAAATTTTGACCGTATCACCCTTTATTCAATCACCGCGTGGTGAGTGGTGGTGTTCCCCGATACACAACGAAAGGCTCCCCGCAAACTGCTAGCGATCAAGGCTGACCTCAACCGGATCGGACCGGAGATCGGATTCAGTTCCAATTATCGTGTGTGGTGATATCCGGTCGTCGGCATCAGCAGCAGCAGCAGTGCTTTCGGCACGTGGCGTTGAACATTGTTCTCCAGTACACAACTAAAAGCTGCCTGCAAGCAGCGAGCTGCAGCCCATATGAGCATCCATAGAAGGAAGAAGAAGCCGCACCGCTATTGATCAGAATCAATAGCTCTTCGTGAGTTTCTGTGGGCCATCTATGTCAAGCGCGTCATAGTAAAGAGTATAAACAGAGATAACCCCGCTCAAATTCCTATTCCTACACAAAACATATGCTCCTGCTGCAGTTAAAAAATAAGATTTATTATATAAGACAACATAGTCCTACGCCGGAATTGCGTACAACCCCATAGGGCTGTCCCTTGTAGTTTTTACAGTGTTGACTTCAACCGAAAATTGACTTCTGGCTCGATCGTACATTTACACAACATATTAAGAACACAAACATTAAAGTATGAATAAGACAGAGCTCCACACCGGGGAAACCGGCAGGGCCCCCGAATTTAAAAAATACTAAACTTTAAAATACAATGCAGCATTCTTTAAAAAGCGCATTACTGCTGCCAGTGTGGAGGGTTCATCACCCAGTATGTCGCGTATGCTATTTGGTAGCTCGTGAAGTTCCCGCAGGCGCTGATACAGAGGGCATACGCATAGAATGTGCTCGATTGAGGCTAGGGTTCTACAACCGACGCTAGTCTTGTGGAACGGCGTTCCACCGAAATTGTGCGAGATCTTGCTGTGACCGATCCTCAAACGCAACGCTATCTTTTGATTTTGACGGTTCTGTCCACTTCCTCGTCGTCCTTTTTATCCGTCTGATGAAGAGGGAGCGGCTCTGGGCCCACTCCGCGTCTCAAGCTTCCCATACTTTGCTCACGATCCAGCGCTTGACATCGTGTAACGGCACTTCGTTGGTATAGCGAGAGGCAGATGGTCCTGCCCCAGCCAGAAAGTCAGTTTCAGAGGTTTTTTTACATAGTTCATTTATTTACTAGGCTCAGTCGTGTGTGACACTTTGCGGAGCCAAATATCAGTAATGCTTGAATTTAAATTTTAAACAGCATATGTTAGTATTGGGTACCAATTACTCGTGGCGGGCTCGAGGTTAACGGGTAACAATTTCGATTGGAAGGAGCTAGGTAGGAAACTGGTCTCTGAAGCCTCCTTCAGAACTCTCGGACGGTTGACCAAATCCTGGCTGGACAGGGGCAAGTAGCACAGAAACAGAAGGATAATAAGACTGGGACACAATGGCTGGAAATTGTTTGGAAAGGAGGGGATGGTCACATCAAACTCTAACATCAGACAAACAAAGGAATTCGTAGATACATGCAGGAAGATCACGGGTTCCCAATACATCTTTTACTTCACGGAAGGGTTGTCTACCTCGGGCCACAAGGGTATACAACAGTCGTGCTGTGGAGGCGTCATTACCCGGGTAATGTCTCTGCTCAAAAGATTTAGACGCAGTTGAAAACCGCTTCCTTGTAAAAACTACCAATTCAGTTTTTTGCGGTGAAAACTCGATCCCTAAATTTCTTGCCCAGAAAGACAGATTATTTAGGGAATTTTGCAATGGTCTTTGCAAGATTTCCACACGTGGACCTCTAAGGGAAACCACGGCATCGTCTGCAAGCGTACATCGATTATCTAAGCAGTTATCC